AAGTCCTCCTGCCTCTGTCCACACTTCTGGAATGACTCACTACAGTTGAATTCCAGCTAGCCTTCATATCCCATTTGTCAGAGGGGCCATGCCTTCTATGTAGATCCCAGGGTGGCCACTGCCCCTGAGGTTGTGGGCAGGTGATGCAGGTCTCTATCACAATGACAGTGGCGGCTGACCCCATCAGCTCACTCCAGGTTATCCTGAACACCTCCTCTGGTCCAGGCCCTGTCGGGGATGCCAGGCACAGAGGTGACTCAGGCTCCCACACCAGGCGGCTGTAAATAAACACCTGTGGATAAAAGCGCCCACAGATCAAAAGTGATCACTGTCCCTGAGATAGGTCACAGATGGTACAGGCTAATTGAAGATAAGGTTCAAATGAGAGAAGCAAGGGACTTCTAAGTTCAGAGGCCCTTTGGTCCTTAGCTTCTCAAAATGTTGTCCATATACTATCCTCCCCTTAATTTCCTGGGAGCTTGTTAGAAATGCAGGGTCTCATCCCAACCTGGACCTGCTGAAACAGAACCTGCATCCTAACAAAAGCTCAGGTGCTCTCCTACACGTGTGAGTTTGAGAAACCCTACTTTGGAGGTGCCACTTTATGATACCAATTAAAAAACTGTGGATCAGAGAGGCTTTTGCTTAAGGAATGTGTCCGAAATCATCCAGCCAAGCGAGTAACAGAGGGAGGACATGAGCCCAGGTCTCCTGCAGCTCAGGCCAATGGCACTAGAGGCTCAGGGGGCTTCTGCAGAAATTGACCCTCATACTGTAAAGGTCAGACCACAGGCGTCCTGGGTTCCAGACCACACCCATGTTCAAGCAGACTGCCGGGAGGAGAGGGGTCAGAGGATGCTGCAGCAGCAGCAGGAAGCCAGCTTCGAGTAAATACACATAGCTGGCTTGTGCAGAACACGTCCTGCCGGCCTCTGGAGATGAAGTCAGGCACATTGCAGTGACGAGATGTGCTACAAACATCAAACCCGAGGTGGAGAGATCACCCGAGATCAGCCAAGAAGAGGAGACAGGGAGTCAAATAGCCCATTTGCTGTAATGAATTGGGCTAGACTACAAAAGTACAGAATCTTAACACTTATCACTTGGCTACATTTAAGGAATCATAAAACCTCATGACTGGAAAGTAACTAAAAAGTTATATGTTCCAACTACTCACCGTGCCCTAAGATCCCAGGGAGAGGTTGTCTGGCCTCACTCCCCTCAGTTCTGCTGGCAGAAACCTACTCCTTACCTTCACAATGTAGGCTTGCTTTGACCCAGAAATTTTCATCCTGAGATTCAAGCTTAAGGAAATAAATCCCAAATGTGGAAAAAGCTATATGCACAAAGATGTTTCTTACAGTGGAATGTGTAATAAACTCAACCTTGATAGTTTGTTTAGAGATTGTAACGAGAGAGAAACAACTTATATACCCTTGACTGAAGGAACAGTTCCCACCTAGAAAACACATTCTCTGAGCACCTGGTTTCTGCAAGGAACACAGAATGGGGCAAGACACCCACCTTGTCAGCCAGCTCAGGAGGATTAGTCCTGACAATCAACAAGGTGACAGATGTCAGAATCACATCTCTCTATGCCAAGGTCAGCCAGATCTTAAACATCTTTAGTTTTGTGGGCTATGTGGTCTCTGTTGCAACGACTCCACTCTGCTACTATAGTATAAAAGCAGCCACGGATGATACATAAATAAATGAGTGTGGCTGTTTCGTAAACCTTTATTTACAAAACTGGCAGCAAGTTGGACTAGCCTCGGGCTATAGTTTGCTGACGGCTGATCTCTATATTCACATCTATTAATTTTAAATGGCAAGAGTTTTTGAAATATCCTACATGTCTAACACAGGGAAATGGTTTAATATGTTAAAGCATTCATCTGATTCATTTGATCCACAGATACTTACTGAGTTCCTGCCTAGGCCAGACATTGTTCTGAGTCCTGCGGAGACTCGAGGCAGTGAGTCAGGGACACCCTGAGACAAAGGAATATGACTGAAGACCTTATGAGAGTATGCTCTAACAAAGAATATCCTTCTAATGCCACATGAAAAGCAAAATACAAAATTGTGTATAAAAATAAGACCAAATAGTGCTTTTATAATTTTTTTAAAAACCACAAGGGAAAAAAAAAAAAAACAGAAAGAAGAATATCAAAATGTTGCTAATGTTTACCTTTGGCTGCTTGGACTACCCCTCTTCTCTTTACCTGAATTTTCCAATGTTGTCATATGATTACATATTACTTTTACAACAAAACATTCCTTCCCCACTGTATTTAAAAGGGAAGGCCTGTCTTGGTTTAAGCTAAGGTCTGTGTCCCTCCTACTTCCACCTGCGGTTCCCACCGCAGTCCCTGAAGGCAGCTGGAAAAAGTCAAGCTGCTTGCTTCTGGATATTCACATACACGCCCAGGCTGAGCCAGAAGGTTCAGCACCTGGGACAGCGCCACAGGAGCCCACAGGGATGAGAAGGGAGCAGTCCCAGGCGGGAGCCCCTGGAGGGCAAGGGCTGTGCCTCCTCCCTGGTCCTCCTGCTGAGTTCATTTGAGACACATGGGCAACACCTGTCAAAGCAGGAAAGAGTGTTGTCCCCTGAGCCCAACTGATGCAAATGGAACGAGCCCCGTGACCCGGCGGGGGAGGATTGTTGGTAGAAAGGAAGTAAAAACAAATACTGCACAGATCCCTTAGCCACATTACTATCTTGGGAGACACTCGCAAACATGCCAACACCAGTCACAGCAACATCTGCTTCTAATTGCTTCTCCCCCAGCATTTTCAGAGCTCGTCAGCTGGCATCTGCCCTAGGAAAAAATCCAGTATTTTTAACAAATGCTTAAATCAGATGGCGTCCTTGGTGAGTAATTTCTTACGTGTTTGGTCTTTGAGGCTAAAAACAGTAAGCGCACCCATAAGGGACGTGGTTGTCAGGAGTGGCTGGGTGCTCAGGAGGTCCCACTTCAAATGGTATGACTAAGAGTTTCCAGTTCACAAGGCACGTTCAAATGTTTTCTTTCACTTGTCATGTATTTGTATCCTAAATATAAAGTGTTTTGGCGGGTTTTTTTAAAAATGCCACTGTGTCCACTTCTTTATGGGTAATTTCCTCTCTTTTCCAAATATTTTTATAGGAAAGTTCCTTTGTAAAAGAAAAATGTGTGATTTTTTTTAAAGACTACATCTATCTATGCTCCCACTTGTGAGTACTTCAAGCAAGATCTCATGTACAGACAAAACTTCCCATTCTCTGTCAAGAAAAGTCTCTGCATTTAGGCTCTCCTCAAAAAACCCACAGCCCCTTCCAACTGCCTGTCGGGAAAGGGTCTTCCTGTGCCAGCCAGTCTGAAGCAGGAAGGCAAATTTGGAATCTAGGCCTTGAGGGCTCTGTCTCACCCTCCTCCCTCTGGAACACATGGACAGCCTCTACTCAGGACAGACCTGCTTGGACGCTGCACCTATCTAGGACCAAGGCAGGAGATGTTCACAAACCTCCTGTGGCTCCCCACTGTTGAAAGCAAGACACACAGCGTTGAAAAACTCTCTGCCCAGGCCACCTCGCTGTGTGAAGCCCACACCCAGCCAAGTCCCCATAGGCATCCTGTGTTCCCACCTCCTGTATCTGCACTCTCTGCATGACTCTCTTCCTCCGTCATTTACTCATTCAGTCAATCATGATTCACACAGTGCCTACTATGTGCCAGGCACTGTTTTAGAAGCCAGATGTCAGCAGCAAACAAAACTCTCTGCCTTCAAAGAGCTTACATTCTAGAGGAGGGAAATAGGCAAATGAATGAACACATAAAATCTGTAATACGTCAGGTGATGGTAAATGCTATGGAGAGAAATGAGATAGCAGAGGGGACTAGCAGATGCTAGTGGGTTGTGGGCAGGGGGCACCTCATGGAGAGGTAACATGTGAGCAGAGCCCCACGACAGGGGGCAGCAAGCCTCTACCTAGGAAACAGGCAGAAGAGCCTTCCAGGCAGAGGGAGTGGCAAGTGCAAAGGCCCTGAGGCAGGAATGTGCTGGTATGTTCAGGGAAGGCAAGGAGCCTAGTGGGGCTGGCACTAATGGCACCCAGGCCAGGGAGGTACATTTGGGCCTTGTGGATCATCAGAGACATTGGCTTTTACTGCAAGATCAGAGCCTGGAGGATTCTGATGAGAGGAGTGACATGTCTGAGTCACACTGTAACAGACCAGTGTAGTGGCTGTGTTGAGAACAGCCTGCAAGGGGCAAGGGGGAAAGTGAGAGATCAGATGGGAAACTCCTGCAACCATCCCAGTGAGAGACAATAGCAGAGCTACAAGAGCTGATGTGGGGAAAAGTGTCCAAGTTTTGGAGAATTTGCTAATGGTTTGCATATGGGGATATGATGCAAAGAGCAGAGACAGTGCTGATTCTGATGTTTTTGGCCTGAACAACTAGGGTGGAGCTGCCATCTAGTAAGTGGTGATGGTAAAAGGCTCAGCAGGTTGTAGTAAAGGATGGGTATGGAAATCACAACCAGCCTTTAAGACCCAGGAACAGTGGCTCCTCTAAGAAGCCTTCTCACAGCAAGCTAAAAGCACTTACCTCCTCCCTTCCTCTCTCACAAGCATGCATACAAGTGCACACACACACACATACACACACACACAAACCAATTCTCTGTACCAGAGTTACCTGTATCCACACATTATTCCCTTGAGTAACCTAGCAGATTCATTTTATATCATCTGGAAGCATCTGTGCACAGTAGGTGTTCAACAAATATTTTTAGTAATATGTTGCATAAAATTGCACCTATGATATTTTAAGTCTGACAACTCAAGAATGTTCTTTCAAAACATCTAAAAATTATGCTTAGCACTGATTAAATATTAAGTGGTAATTATTCCACCTCAAGGGCCCTATATATAGATGCTGACCTGCCCCCAATTGTTCAAATTGTCGAAGCAAGCTCTCCTGTGGAAAGACCAAGTTAGGAAGATGGCTATTACCTTGCCAGTCCTTATATCCCAAGCTTTCATTTCAGAGCTGAAGCCTCCACATAAAAAAATGTTGTGGTCTTTTGGATGGAATTTCAAGGTAGTGATTCTAAAGTCACTTCGACCACTAAATAGTTGGGTTCCTACAACACAAAAAGAGAAGAGAGGGTTAGAAAACTTAGGTCACAAAACAAATATCTTAAAACTAAGATGCCATCTGGTATGGGGCCCATAGCAAACACAGCTTCCCTGGGCCCAATGTGGCCCAACGGAGACTTTCTGGAAATATGACAGTGGCAGCAGCAAGATTTGCCCTTATTCTCTGATTCTCTGGCCAGCCCACCCTTGACTAGCTGAACATCCCCTCCGCCTGGGCTGAGCTTAGATGGGTGGATCAATGAGTGCACCTTTCATATTTGCTGTCAGCATGACATGCATTAGCTCATATAAACCACACAACGACCCTATGCCCACTTCACAACCAAAAACCAAGCCCAGGGAGGTCATGGAACATTTCCAAGGCTCCACAGTTAACACAGTAGATTATTTACCTGGGAGTCTAGAAACCAAAAACAGGACTGCTCTAAGGTGATACTTTTCAGGATCAGCCACCTTATAATAATGGATGAATGGTCTGCTATGGAGCATGGCAGGTGGGACGGCCTGAGACGCTGGGTGATAAATGAGAATGGCCATCATAGTGGCCCAAGCACAGATTGGACAGAGTGGTGTGGGCCATTGGGGGTCTCACTGGCTCTACAGGACATGAGGCAGTCCTTGTCCTTTATAAATACATCATAAACTGTTGTCAAGCATTTATGTTCATTATGGTAAGTGTCTGTGTGTGTACATATATACACATATGGTGTGGAAAATGTCTTTTTTATAACTATGATCTTTTAGAGGTAAGCTATATAAACTTCGAAAACATCAATCATTTGGAGCAGGTCAAAGCTGGTCCTCCTTCCACTACCCAGTGCAGCCCCTGTGTCCCAGAGCACTGGCTGTCATTCTCGTCTGTCCACACCTCATCCATCTGAAACTACATCAAGAAGGCAGACCGGCCTTGGCAGGGTGTTCTCACCATGGGAGTCTCTGGGTGCCACCCCGTATATGCCCCCCCACAGGCAGGGCTCACACACCAGGCAGAGCACCTGCCACACGCCACCCAGTCAGAAACGTGGAGCAGGCTTCGCTCAGAGGTGCCATAAGCGCTCTCACAGCACAGGAGGAAGAACCTTGACTGCCTTGTACCCATAGAAACTCCCCCATGGGACTGAGCAGTGGGCTACTTAGGGACACGGGAAGCTGGTGGCGAAGAAGACCATGAAGACACCGAGGTCTCAAGCATCATTTCCACTCACAGGAACCCAGGAAACAGCACTTGCTCATTCAATTCAGAAAGCACAAAAGCTTGCCCAGCTTTGTGTTCTGTGACCCCCACACATTAGTGAAGGCCTCTGCCAGCTCACCAGGTGTGGAAATGAAAGTCATCAATCAGTACTCACGACAGTCACAGCGGGAGGCTTTCACAGACCCAATCTGTCTAGATCCATGGTCTCCAAACTATTATAGTTTGACGGTACACCCCATCCATGAAAAACCTAAGGCACACATCACCAATATATAGATATTTGTTTTAAGTTGTATAATGTGCTTCTGTACCAACATATTATAAACATTATTAAAATATCAAAAATAGAACACTTTAAAGGATGATACAAGGATAAAATAGTCAATATTTTAAAATATATTTTAATATACCCTTATATGTGCCTATGCCAGGGACTCAGAGCAGCAATGTGGCAGCACAGAGGCCCCAGGACACTCGCTTCAGCCAAGTGGCTGGGGGTCATCTGGGGACTGTCAGAAGGGACCACCATCACATCCCCTAGACAGAAAAGGAGGACACGGATGCCACTGCAGTCCCCATACCATCAAGAAGGCCCAGGACTGCCAGACTCTTTCTCCCCACAGGGAATACTGCACTTATTGCTGAGAACATTCAGTGGCCGGCTTCTTGCTCACTTGGCATTCATTGCCAACCCTTAAATCCAAAAGGAAACATAAACTCTATCTGCCTGGAGAAAAAAATGTCCCTTGTTTTTGGACCATAGCATATAACCATATGCTTATTTTCAGAAATGACAGTGAATTATCCATATGTTTTTTCAAAAGTGCAGTGGTACAGTCTTGCCAACAATGGGGAAGAAAGATGAGAGAAAACGTGAAAGCTGAATTGCTAAAAGATGATGATCGAACTTCTTCTGCTAAAACAAACAAAAAATCTGAATGTTATTTTTCCTCAACCCCCTAAAGACATTGAAAATCTGTCTTTTTAAGTATTTCCATTTAGAAGATAAGCTGTAGTTTATACATTTTTCCTATTTTTACTTACAATAACTAGGCCCTTACTGCTTTTCTTTGTTAAAAGGGTTCAAAACTACAAGATTTTTAAATTTTTTAGTAAGTTTCTAGATACCTAGTGAAAACACTAAGGTAGAAATCTTGCTAACTAAGAAGTTCTCAAATAAGACTTTGTTTCAGAGATTAGGACCATAGCCATCATTATCTTCATTATCTGGCACAATGTTGGAAGCAGGAGATGGTATAGTTGAGGAGTTCAGAGCCACGCAGACCCAGATCCCATCCCAGCTCTGTCGCTTCCAGCGGAGGGGCCTTACACTGCTGTGTCTCACACCCTTACACATGTAAGGTTGTCATGACAGCTAAATGTAACATGGTGCATGAAGCCTTCCACAGAGCATGGCAAACAGCAATCCACAAAAGGGAGCTATTAGAGTTTACAAAATTAAACCCCAAATTATTGAATTCATCATTGGTTCAATTACAAACTAAAACCAAGGGATACAGGTTTGTTTTTTGGTTTGTTTGTTTGTTTTTGTTTTTTTTTGAGATGGAGTCTCGCTCTGTTGCTCCGGCTGGAGTGCAGTGGCGTGATCTCGGCTCACTGCAAGCTCTGCCTTCCAGGTTCACGCCATTCTCCTGCCTCAGCCTCCCAAGTAGCTGGGACTACAGGTGCCTGCTACCACACCCAGCTAATTTTTTTATATTTTCAGTACAGATGGGTTTCACCGTGTTAGCCAGGATGGTCTCAATCTCCTGACCTCGTGATCCGCCCGCCTCGGCCTCCCAAAGTGCTGGGATTTCAGGCATGAGCCACCGCGCCCGGCTGGGATACAGGTTTTTACATAGCAATAACCTCCAGAGATTAATGCTTTTGGGCTTTTCCCATGAGGCTTTGAAAATACAACGCCCTGGGCTGCCCTTTACATGTGTTAAAGAGATATGGGTAAAGTCTGGAAAATATTCATCAGTGAAATATCTTGAACATGAACACTAGCCATGCCAGAGGAGAAGGTCTTAACTTGTCAGACAAGCTCTTCCTCTCTACCTTTTCATAAACCAAGGAGCTTGTTTATCATATCCTCTCCCGGGCAATGTTACTTTAAGCACAATGGTTAGCTGTTACATAACCTTTAACCTTAAGACCATCTTGCTTGTTTACCTGTTTGTTATAGAAAATTCTGTTTATTCACTGTATCCTTATTATAGGAAACTGAGTTTTAAAATGTTTAATCCACTGGCACTGACTTTATTGATCTCATTATAATGAGCTCAACCAGTATAAAAACTGTTTGGATCTTCTTGGAGCTAGGAAAAATCACTTATTTTCTCCTTGAATCAATAATGATACAAATAAAAAAATTGTTAAAGCAAAAACATGTTTAAAACACAATGCAGAAATTCCATTTGTTCTACTAACTCTATGACCAGTGCTTCAATCCCCATATGACTGTGATAAGGCACCTGGGAACTCTGGAATGGCGGCTCCCCCAAGCTGCCCCTCTTCCTTTCTCAGGTGGAGACATCAAGCTCCCCAAGGTGGACACCCATGTGGCCGGGGCAGCACCACCTGTCCACCCTAACATCTATGCTTGGAATCCTATCATCACGCAGGGCTCCAGGCCCGTGAGGGCCCTCCTCTTCCATTCAGCATGAATGACTCCCAGTCTAGTTCCTGGCACATAATAGGTATTTGATCCAGGTCACATGAAACCCAAGTATGGGTCTCCAGGAGAGAAAAGAGAAGCTCATGTCCCCCCCCCAGGGAGCTCAGAGGCAGACCCGGCAAAGCAATTCACAGTCAAGGAGGGGGAACGACATTTATCAGGAGCCTGTTACCTCCAGGCCTGTCTGGAGCTTGCACGCATCACACAGCAACCTGGGTGGTAGGTGTAATTAACCCATCTCTCACAGCCAGGGAAACGGAAGCTCAGCGAGGTGAGAGACTTGCCCAGAGCCACATGAGTCAGCCACGCTGAGACGGAGACTGGCCCTGTCTAATCTCAAGGCCAGGTCTCGGCACCCTACCTTGCATCCCCGCCAGTTATTCGTGACCTTTCCTTCTCCTAGTGCTTTGTTCACATCCACAGACTCATGAACACGTAGGAAAAATGTTGACAAGGGAAAGCTTATGCTGTTGGCTTGTGGTAATTGAGCTTGTGTTCCCAGGCAGTAGGCATATGACTCATTTCGCTAAAATCAATATCGTTACACTCATCCTCTGGGAAGTATTCAGCCAGCTGTAAATTTCACCATCCTGACTCAAAGTTAACGAGAAAAGAAGCTTACTAACTTTCAAAGCAAACTCTGTGCATCAGAAACAGAGGCCATCTTGGCAATCCGGGCAAAGGCCTGGGAAGGGTCTGGCCTGAGAGCCAGCTGGGCCTGCATCTGAACATTCCCTATCAGCTGTGGCCCTGCATCAGCCAGCAATCCTCTCCAGCCCTGGTATCCTCATCTGTAGACTCAGGATCACAAAAGGTGGTTGTGAGAATTAGAAATAATGTATGTAGGAGATCTAAGCCCCAGACAAATGATAGGGCCCAATAAACAGTAGCTGTAGCACTGCAATAATAGTAATAACAGAAGAAATAGTAGTAGTTGCAGTCATTTTTTTAAATTTGTCTTTCTTTTTTCCATTATACTTTAACCAAGTTGGAAAATTTGTCTTCTAATGACATACTTACACCTGCTCTTTCCTTCCCATTCTTTTTTGTTTCATTTTAAATTAGTTTTAATTGATAAATAATAATTATATATATATAGGTGGTACAAT